TTTTTGAGAGGTTTTCGCTATAGGGTGTGTGCGCTCGCCAGGCAGACAGAGACAGAGAGACAGAAAGCAAGAAATCACCCCCCAGTAGGGATGGCCATGCCACAGTTCTTTCTCCTCCATTCTCCTCTTGGGATCTTGGGCACGCACGCACACGCGCCCGGCGTGAGTTTAAGCCACCGGGTCTGGGACGCGAACCGCGGTCGACTACGTGAGAGTCCAGTGACATAGCCATTACGCTAACTGCTGGTTCCCGAGGGTGTTTTCTTCATGTTGTGTTTCTCTTGCAATTTCACATCTCAGGACTGATGGGACTTGCAGCTGGGGTGACAGGAAAATACCTGGTGACAAGGGGATTTTCAGCCCATGGGCGGCCCCTCACTGGACAGGAAGCTGATCAGGCATTTTTAAAGTCTGGAATTTTTTATAACTTTTTTTTTTGTGGGGAGGGGGTCACATTTCGCTATAGGATGTTTATGCTTACCAGAAAGACAGAAGGAAAATAAGAAAGCACTCCCAAAGGGGGATGGCCATGGACGGTTTCTCCCTTTTCCTCCTGGGATTTAGGGCACATTGGGACACACACCCAGCGTGAGTTTCAGGCCACTGGATTTGGGACTCGATTCGCAGTTAGCCGTGTGGGAGTCCAGCACCTCAACTCAACGTGAATTTCAGGCTGACGGGTCTGGGACCCAAACTGTGGTCAACGACATGGGAGTCGAACAGCTTAACCACTACGCCACCTGCTGGCCCTCCATGGCTTGCTTTTTGGGAATATGCTGGACAGTCACGTGGTGTTTCCAGACAAGCAGCGGGCCAGAGTTTGGACCTGACACAGCCTCCTTGCAGGGTCTACGGTCAAGACACACCTGGTCCCCTCTCTAAGCCAGGGTTCTTCCCTGTGCACTCCAAGGAGCCCAACGCCAGTATGGGGAGAGACTTGACCAGTAGGGCCAGCAGGCGGCATGGCGGTTTCGGCCCTGGGCTCCCACGTGCCAACCATGATTTGAGTCCCAGACCCCTCGACGTGAATGTCATACTGGGAGGACCGGCAGGTGGCCTGGTGGTTAAAGGCGCTGGACTCCCACACGGTCAACTGCGGTTCGAGTCCCTGCCAAACCTGGCAGCTTTCTCTCTCTCTCTCTCTCGTCAGATTATTTACAAATAAATTAATAAATAAATGATAACATACTTCTTAAAAATGAATGAATGAGGGGGAATCAATAAATAACTCTTGAAAATAAATGAATGGGGACTAACAGCATAATGGCTATGTCGCTGGACTCCCATGTAGTCGACTGAGGTTCGAGTCCCGGACCTGGTGGCTTAAACTCACGCCGGGCGCGTGTGCGTGTGTGCCCAAGATCCCGAGGGGAGAATGGAGGAGAAGGGATTGCGGCGTGACCATCCCCCCTGGGGGGCTGATTTCTCTCTTTCTGTCTCTCTGTTTCTCTCTCTCTGTCTGGTGAGCGAACATGCCTTATAGCAAAAACCTCTCAAAAAATAAAGAAAGAATGAATGAATGAAGGGGAACAGTGGGTGGCGTGGAGGTTAAGGTGCCGAACTCCCACCTAGCTAGTCACAGTTCAAGTCCCAGACCCGGAGCCTTGAAAATCACACGAGGCGCATGTGCGTGCATGCCCAAACTCCCTAGAGGGGAATGCAAGAGAAGGGAAGGCCATATGGCCATCCCCCTCCCCCCTTGGAGGTTATTTCTCTCTTTC